AGCAAGGTCGAAACCGGTCGTAAGCATAGCTTGTGCTATTAAATGAAGTTCAATTGTATACACACCCACACCCACACCCCACACCCTAGCTCAAGTCGATCCCAGTTATGGAATAATCTTTCTTTGTATTACAGATAGTGCTGCAAAAATTTTTATTTGTAAAATATATTCCTAAACTGTTTTCTTCTCGATTGATTTGAATTTTTTCTAATAAATGCTTCGAATTTGCTTAGAAAACACTCTCTGCAATCGTTTATAACTGAAACCGAAATTTGTCAGCGCTACTGCTGCTAATGCAAACTAACGTGCGACATCAGTCGTTCCTTTTTGTTCATTTAAAAATCATTTATTTTAAGAATAAAATACATTCAGTTATTAGACTAATGTTTGCCCCATTGTATCTTAGATTTTCAAACTCTCACTTGATTTCTATTATAAAATTCAAGAAAACTTCAAAGTAATATAATTGGCTCATTCTTCATGATTAACAGAAGAACAAATATTTTTCTTTGTTGTGTCATGAAACGTGACATTGCGTTCTGTCACATAATAGTTAGTTTTTAGTATAATCAGCTGCGTATACTATTTTATTTTGATAGCAAATACTGATAATGATTGCCATATATATGTGTTGTTGTTTTTTTATTTTAATGCATTTCTCAGTAGACGTTGTTTGACAAAGGTAAGCCAAATTTGCTTCACAAAAAAAATGAGTGATTACTTCATTATGATATAGTGAAATGTTTCGTTTGTGTCGTCTCACTTTTATTCTCGTCATCCTTTGTACTCGTAAGTTTAAATAATATTAGTAATATTCATAGACAAACTTTTTCTTTGACATTTGAAGCTGCTCTATTAATAAGCAGTTCTACCATAGAATGTTATAGTTGCTATGAAGAAACATGTCCAAAGCCATGGAATCCAAACAATGTCCAACAAGTAACAACGATAAGTGGTTGGTGCCTTGTAAATATTTCATATAAAATCTAATATAATTTTTTTTATAATAAATGTGTTCTTCTACACAGACATTTAGTAAAGATAATTAAACTAGCGAGTCTATATATGCTCGAAATTGGGCACTACCTGACCAATGTAAAGAAAATAAATGTGAATGGCGTACAAACTCTACTGGTGCTTCCGTTTATTTCTGTTGCTGCAATACTAATCTTTGCAATGGAGTTGATAGAGAAATAACAACAACACCTACAAATGGACAGTTAAAATTCATCGACAATACTCGTTTTATCTTTATAGTTGTTTTGATATTCTTCATCATGATAAAATAACATAGCATAAACATTTATTTCATATTTTGATTTTTTGTAAATCAAACTTATTTTTTAATAAATAAAATAGATATATTAATTAGTTTCGTTTTCTTAGTTCTTATACTTGAGAATAAAATTTGTTCTTTATTTCCATTGGATCAGTGAAGTCATATCTATTCATCTTATCACTTATCACATGTGCAATGATAACAAACATAATACGTCATTTGTAGGAACAAATATAACACAAACATGGTTACATGTTGAAAACAGCTGTTGCAACTAAGAATCATTTCAATGCCAAAATCTCATGACGTCAATCAATATTTAACTATTTTAGATCCAAATTGAATAAGGGTGGGTGTGGGTGTGGCGTAGGTCCATATCTGCTATCAATCGCACCAGCATCTGCCACACGCCCACACCCACACTCACATCCTTCATTATTTTGTTTTAAAAAATGATGAAAGTAGTAGGGTTATAATAGTGTCATTATAATAGATTAATAATCGCAAAAAAATCAATTATAATTAGATTTTCTCCCATTATTTTTTACATGGGTGATGCACAAATATTTTACGCCATAATATACTACAACATTTTGTCCGAGACAATAAGTCTAGTCACCCTGAATTCAACATTCTGAATAATTTTAGCTGAAGTTCGCTCACTCCAGACTTCGTATCCCACACTGTTCATGGCCTCCTTTTAATCAGCATGTAGTTCAGAAAGACCTCTATATTCATTCTGGACTGCTGACTCTTCGAAATCTTCTGTCAATTTTTTCATTCAATTTCAAATGTCGACGGATGATAACAACAATAAACCTGCCACTCCTGTCATATCTCCTAAATACAACACTGATTGCTACGATGATTCAAAAAGGATAGATGCTGTCTCTGTCACAATGTTAATATTTAGTTGTTTTTTCTTTCCAATTTGTATATTAAATTAATTACTAGTTCATAATCATCATAGTCGCAAAATAAGAATCTATACAAATCTCAGTCGTTTTTTTTTATTGATTCTGTTATCTTTTCAATGGTCATTGGTTTAGTAGTAAGATTTCTGCATTCAATTGGTTTTAGAATCAATCGAATAATAACGACAGCAACCGAAATAGAAATAGCAGTTGAATAGTCATCATGATTTAGACGGGACTAGTGCAATCTATGGAAAGATAGACTTGCTTTGCGTTCAACTCTACTTTCTTTGATTAATAAATGATTCATAATGAGCATATTTTTTTTTCAAATAATAAAGGACTCTGACACACCACACACACAAGCAAACGTGAATAAAATTTTTGAAAAAAAGTAAAGCAGAGAATCGTAGTTAGCGATGGTTAAAAAAAATGTGTTAGCTAAAGCAAAGTAAAATCGTGTATACTATCATTTGTCTTTATTCAAAGTCCTTGCTATTTTTCTTCTTCTTTTGATTAACCTGTGCAGTAACGTGCTGGACATCTAGGTGGTTTTGTCAATCCAAACACATAGAAAGTGTCACAATTTGTTATTGTTATTGGGTTTGAATCAAAACATGAACGAGTAAAATATTGATAACATACAGTTGCATCAACAGTATCGCCAGGATTAGTAGGAAAAGTACCGTTTGTCCAACCAGGTAACGATGTACCACACTTATTACTACCACCCGGCACAGAACTAAGAATTTTTCCATTAGATGAGATAAATCGTACATATGTAGGAGCTCTGGTATTATTGCTAGTAAACAATGATTGATCACAGGCTGTGCCATTGACAAGATTGGAAATTGAACGAGTCGAATCGTTGATTGATAGATAACTATAACATTGTGAGGGTAGATCTACTGTGCAGTAGCGTGATGGACCGAGTGAAGGAGGAGCTGTTAAACCAAATACATAATATGTGCTACAATTTGTTATTGTTATCGTATTAGACACATAGCACGGACTATAATTCTCCGGACTATAATACACGTACATGCAAGTTGTGGCATTGACTGTTTCACCAACTGATGATGGATATGGTGTAGATGTAGTATCAATATAAATAGGATACCCTGTGCCACACCGATTAATGCCCTCTATTGGCGTTCCTAATATTTGAGTTCTACCTGGTGACATAAATCGTACATAGGATATAGAGTCAGCCCTAGGAAATAACGTTGTATCATCAGATGAACCACCCCCGTTGGATGATAGACGTGTTGGATCATTAATTGTAATATAATTATAACATTGTATAGGCAGATCCATAGTGCAATAACGTGCCGGACACCTACAGAATAAAACAAACGATTTATATCATAAACTACATGCTATATCAAGACAACCATATAAAAAAGAACAAATTAACTTTAGCAGAATGAATAAAAGGAAAAGAAAAATGACCAGCATCTATCCGTTAGAAGAAAACGTTTAGCGTATTAATCAGTCTATAATACATACCGTGGTGGTTTTGTTAATCCAAATACATAATATTGATCGCAATATGAAATTGTTATTGTATTTGATGCATAACAACTAGTGTTATTATTTGCATAACAAACAGTTGCATTAACTGTTTGACTAGGGAAATATGGATAATCAGTTGTGACATATCCAGTAGCTTGAGTGCCACAGTGATTTGGACCTGGTGAGGACATGGCTATTTCCATATCTTTGCCCGATCCAGATACAAATCGAACATAAGTTATTCCTGTGCTAAATGATGAATTGTCGCATCCAGACCCACCATTAGATGATACTAATCTTGAAGGATCATTGATCGTGGTGTAATTGGTACATTGGTCAGGAAATTCAATTGTACAATAACGTGAATTACATTCAGGTGGTGCATACAACTGATAAACATAGTAACCGCCACAATTCGTGATTTGTATTGAATTAGAATTCATACAAACATTGCCGATGCCATAATCATAACAAACAGTTCCATCGACAGATTGACCAATTTCAGAAGGATGAGATGTAGTTAGCCAACCAGTTCCCCAAGCACCACAGTTGTTTCCACCAGGCGAGATAGTTGGCATTTGTGTTCCACCAGGTGACACGAAACGAATTGGGTTAGGCATACTATCGAACAATACTTGATCACACCCCTGTGAGTTATCATTGATATTATTTGAAACGACTCTTGTTGAATCATCGAAGGTAGTGTAAACAATACATTCCAAAGGAAGATCAACACCACCTGTTGATGTTGTAGTAGCTACTAAAAGTTAAAAACATGTTTGAAACTACTATAATACAATGTTTCAGTAATTCAAAGTTCGAGCAGATTTGTAGTTTTGCTTCATTCACACATATCTAGATTCGTCTAATAGAGCTGATTACAAATACCAGTATTTTAACCGAACAGACTCTTTCTTCATGGCGAAAATGCAAAATCACCGAAAGGACAAAAATATCATTCACTTCCGGAAAAAAGTTCCGTAGTTTTTCTTCAAAACACAGTATAGCGAAAGAAAATGATTTTTCTAATTCTCCATGAAAACTGAAATCAAAAAAGAGTCCTGCGAGGTTTTTCATTGAGAAGTGGAAGTCTGATTGGGCGTAAACCAAAACGCTTTCCAAACAAGGCTCTCGATGATTTTCAAAAGTGGGAGCGGCTAAAATTTGGCAGACAGTTTTTGAGCAAATACTTAAAATTTCCGCAGACACGAAGTGAAACATGACGTGCGCTAGCCCACCCAGTCCAACCTCCATATCGTGTGCCCTGTTTCCAAATCTGCTTACTTTCTATTGAGAACCTGTGCACTTTTTTCTGAAAGAACTATACATGTGATTTCTATGCCATAAGAATCGCCTTAAAATGAGGATTAAAAGTATTTTCGTCTTTTTTTGAAAATCTTTTTCATTTCGAAGATAATTAGGTTTCCTTCAATATTAACGAGTTTAGCATCAAATCGGTTAAGTAATTTTAAACAAGTCAGGCAGTTTTCAATAGATAGAGCTAAAAATTTAGATTTATAGGTAAAAGCAAGTGTTACATTAGCACAGTCACTTTCAGAAACATGAAGGACTTTCTAAAAGAGCTTTCCAAAAAACTAACCTTGAAACACTCTGGGAAAATTCGTTTTTTTTTCAAAAGTCATCTGGATAAATAGAGAATTACATTTTGAATCTTTCAACCACGCAGGAAATGGAAAGAAGTCGAATATTAAACTTTGTTGAATGGAGAATAAATACTGATATGTTTGTTTGGCATGTACGAACTGAGCGAATAGTAATAACATCTATGCCTTACTGTTATCATTCAGAATGTCTCACAGTTGTGTACATTAATACATTAAGTATGTCTCTCTGCTTTGTATCAGTCATTCGCACCTGTCTGAACTCATCTTCCGATACGATATTTCTGTTGCCATTCGTAATACTTTCATCCCAAAATAATGGATTTTATAAAGCAGTTAGACAAATTGCTGCATCGATTAAGGAAGAATTGTTTATAATGTGCATTATTCAAAAATTGGATCCAAGAATCTCAGATCCTAGTCCACTTTCATGAATCTGTTTGACAATTCACCAGTATCTCTAGATCCCGGATTCGCTATTTTTCTCCTAAAAAGCGAATATGCCCAGATACTCATTCACTTTTGAGTCGGGACTTAGTGCATCTTGTAGGCCGTGATGAACTATGCCTATCATAAAAAGAGTTCGTGACCCTAGCCTGTTTTAGAGGAGATCGAACGTTTTTACTCTTACGGCCGAGTCATCTTATAAGAAAAAAAATCACCGTCTTAGTCAATAAAAAGTCTGCTCCATAACAACTGAAGATAAATTGTTAATGATATTTTTCTTACGTTCGTTTGACGTTATAGAGCTAAAATTTTTATCGCAAACATATCTGATTAGGATCTTTTATTTCTGAAAGTTTCAAGTCTCTGCCAATAATTGCTGGAAAAATACATCAACAAGATTGAAATATATACATTTTTCTACTCTGTTTTTACCTCATTTTTCACAATGAACACAATGCAAAAATCGAGTAGACAAATGTATATATGTCAATCATGCCGATATATTTTTCCAGTAATTATCGCCAGAGACTTGAAACTTTCAGAAAAGATCTTGATCAAATATGTTTGCCATAAAAATTTCAGCTCCATAACGTCAAAAGAAAGTAAGAAAAATATCATTAACAATTTATCTTCAGTTGTTATGGAGCAGACTTTATATTGGCTAAGACAGTGATTTTTTTTTCTTATAAGATGACCTGGCCGTAAGAGTAAAAACATTCGATCTTCTCTAAAACAGGCTAGGGACATGAACTCTTTTTATAATAGGCATAGTCCATCAAGGCCTACAAGATGCACTAAGTCCCGACTCAAAAATATATGGGCACCTGGAAAGATTCCCTTGTTAGCTAGAGTCTATCAGATCTAAATTTTCGGACTCGAGCATGAATCCGAATCTAGACTCAGTCGAGCACGGGACCGACTCGATGGAGTTTACCTTGGAACGAGAAGTTTCTCATCCGCTTTACTGAAAAACAGAATAATAGCAAAGCAATAGTGTTTACAGCAAAAGAAATTGGATTGTGAGTTAGTTTAACTTGTTCGAAACGTTTGATAGTCATCTGAGATGTGTCGCTAAAGAGGAAGAAAATTTGGAGTGGCGTCTAACTGATATGATTCAACTTTTCTATACAGTTTTTCTGCACTTGTAATAAACAAGCATAAAGTCAAGTCATTAGCGATGTATGTTACCACATTTAGTCATATAAAACTCAAGTTTTTCAACGAAAACGTTTTCTACATCTGTTTCATTAAGAAAATGTTGGCAGTGGTCACTAGAGACAGTGAAAAACTTTCACGTTTGCACAAATAGATCAATCTGATGAAATGAGAAGCAAGTGTTTGAGTCTATCTCAGTCTACGCAGCCTGTATCTAGCATAGGCTTTTGTTTACGCAAGCCTTCTGGCTCTGTGGCCTATATTATGATTGCCAGCAGACAATATGTTTACCGGTATTGTACCAATGCATCATATATCAGAAGAAAATGAGAATTAAAAAGTAATAGAAAGTTTTTACATCAGATAGACCCTATCTAAGTCTTCTTATCTATCCAAGTCTGTACTTCTCGAATCTAGAGCAGGCTGGAGCCTACCTAGGCGTCGTGCTCCGCCACTTATGTATAAGAGGGTTTTGAAGTACAACAAACCAATACATCTGTATCTAGATGACAGGATGAAAATTCCTAAAAATATGATGGGCACTTATGAAAACCAACAAGGATTTTGAACGTATAAAGAATAGAGATCCGGACTATAAGAGAAATCCAAGAATTACAATTAAGATCTCAGAGTTCATGAGATCCTTAAGGATACAGGATCTCTATTTCTAAAGTTATACTTAGGGCTGACCAAACCTTCTGACCACAGCGTTTAAAAGACTTTATCGGAAAAGGTAATGTATTCAGAAACGAAAAACCAAATAGACCATATTGTAAAGCTTTTTGAGGCGCGTCGAATGGTATATAGTAGGTCCTGGTTTCATACGACTTTGAAAGAATTAGAATCAATTTTCTGATAGACGACTCCCCACCTACCCATACTCACCCATACCCACACCCATAAGACGACCAAGGATGCAACGTATATGAGGTCGTAACCCGTCAAAAACTCTAGAAAATCGTATGTGAGAAAAAATATGTTACAAATACTTTCGACTAATACGAAGGACCACAATATTCAGTAACTCATCATGCTTGGATGTGGGTGTGTCGTCATATATCAGCAAATTGATTTTATTTCTTTCAAAGTCTTCTGAAACCAGGGTTTACTATATAGAATTTGACATGCCTCAAAAAGCTCTACAACATCGTATATTTGGTTTTTCATTTCTGAATAGAACATCTTATCCGAAAAAGTCCTTTAAACGCTGTGGCCAGACTTTTAGTTAGCCCTAAGTCAAATTTTATCTGCCCGAGTTATTCTCAAATTAAATGGGCAAATTAACGTCAAATGCGCTACTTTTTAATATTAATTGCTTTTAAACAACAGACAAGAATTTCGAAAAAAAGACGAACGTACTTTCAACCTACGTTTCACAGCAATATTTTTGAAGCATGATTTATGGCAACAGCTTTGGACACAAAAACTTTAGAGAACCTGCAAATCGAAAAGGTCAGATTTTAAGCAACACTTATTTTAAATTCTGCCAAAATTTACTTCTAAATGTATGACGCTAATTCTCACATTTTGAGGTACCATTTTTAATAATAAGTCCAAAAAGCACTTTTTCACAGCTGTGTGAAACTTTGAAGAAGTACTGTCAAGCGTTTAGTAAAACTAAATGACTTCTCGGGTTTTTTTCGATCCTCTATGTGTTTTGAAGTTTTCTCTGTGTAAATAACGACTACAAAGGCTAGAAGGATGAGATTCATGACGACACCGAGGAGCTGTAACCAAATATGTAGGGTCAAGGTCCAAATTGAAAGTTTCGTCGAACTTTGAGTTAGTAGGAACTTCTGGGACATAAAATATTAGGAGGACACCAAAACATAGACAGGATGCTCATAAATGACCAGACCCACAAGAGTAAATAAACGCAGAGGTTACCTGTGGTCGTAGATCTAGACGATGTTGTCGGTGGTCCAGTTGTAGATCTAGTACTACTAGTACTCAGTGTAGCAGCTACTAACATATATAAATAAAAGAACGATAGAAATAGGAAAGCTTACGATGATAGTTTTTACTCACTTGCTCGGCTAGTTGTCACTGTAGTATTCGTGGGTCGAGCTCAAGAGAAGAAGCACAATTTTGTAATATTTTAAAGAAGCTTTACATACTTGTCGTATTTGATGCTGTTACTCTCGTTGAAGTCGTCGAATTCGTAGCTGAAATAAATTCAAACAGAAGTCTTTTAGTTCTTTTCTTCAGAAGATCGCGCTATTAACCTCTCGCTGCTGATGTAGTCGTTGTACCTGAAAAAGTACCAGTTAAAAAAACACATCACTATATAGGGATACCAAGCAAAATTCCTTACTTTGAGCGACCGCTGTGTTTGAGGCTCTTGTTGATGACGCTAAAAGAATTATAGAGTGCTTATAAATAAACGCAAGAACTTTATTTAGAAAAATGAATGTAACATCGAATTGTAAGCTTTTCTTGTCAAAGATGGCGAATAATGACCAACTTTTTCTCTACACTAAATGAATATACTGTCGTATAGTTTTTTTTGTGCATGACTTAGCTATTGAACTTTGCTGACTCCTTACTTGTAAGTGTTAAAATGGTTGTTGAAATGCTAATTGCACGAAGTAGAAAGAGAGTTAAGACAACGTTCAATATAGCGCGAAAAAGAGGGCATGGTAAATTTCGATTTCCTGGAAATTCAAATTTTTCAACATCTGATAAGTGAAGTGTCCGTTTCTCAGGTTGGGGTGGATCGGTTTCGGTCAACCAAATAAAGAATGTATATCTATAGATGAATATAGAATAGGTGATTTGATTTCGGCTTGGGTCCGGGTAGGTTGGGTCACGTCAATGAAGAATATAAGTCTATAGATGAATATAAAATAGATGATTTGATTTCGGGTTGGATAGAGTTGGGTTCGGTTGGGTCGGATTGGGTTGGGTTGAGTTGAGTCGGGTTCGGTTGGGTTGGGTCAAGTCAATGAAAAATATATATCTATAGATGAATATAAAATAGATGATTTGATTTCGGGTTGGGTTGGGTCAAGTACTCGACCCAACCCAACCCGACTCAACCCACCTCAACCGAAGCCAACTCAACCCAATCCAACCCGATCCAACCCAACCCGACTCAATCCAACTCAACCGAAGCCAACTCAACCCAA